CAGCACCACGCTCACCCAGTGAGCAACCGGCCATCCCTATATAGGATCCGAACCCGGGGCCTTGGTGTTGTCAGCACCACACTCTCCCGAGTGAGCCACGGGGCTGGCCCTAGTTTTGTGTTTTAAGAAAATAAATTGTACTTATTATATGTACCATTTTGCAAGGTTTTTTTTTATTCAGCATTATGTCTTCCCCTGAATCCAGGTACATGCAGATTTACTTCATTCTTTTTGTTTGCTGTGTCATATTCCATGGTATTGTAATTCCACACTTTATTTAGCCACCCACTGTTGATGAATGCTTAGTAGGGTGTTTACAGTTTTTCAGTATTTAAAACAATACTGCAGTAACTATTTTTGTGCATGGTTCCTTGACTCATGTGCTAGTATTTCTCAAGGGTAAAGGAAAAGTGGACTTGCTAGGCGTGTGATTTCAGAGTAGCATTATCATTTTACACTTCTATCAGCAACATGTGCAAGTCCCCAATTTCCCCAAAGCCCCTTAATGCTTGTGATTCCAGATTTAAATTTTTTTTCAGTCTGAGGGGTAAGAAATGATGTCTTAATTACAAGTAAATTTGAGCATCTTTTGATATGTTTATTAGCCATTTCACATTTCTGTTATGTTTGTATCCTTTGGGATTTCTTTTTGGCTTTATTTGGTTTTGTCTTACTGATTTATAGGAATTGCTTACTTTTTAAAAAATGTATTCTTTATATCAATGTCTTTCACTGTATAAAGTCTTTTTCATTCAGATCTTTCTGATCCTGGTTTTGCCATTGACTATGATTTGGGGGACATTGTTTGACTTCCACAAAGCCATTTTTCTCCATCGTGAATTGAGAATACACTACTTCTTGTTTATTGTGTTATTGTGAAATGCCAGTGAAAGAGTGTTTGAGCTTTGTGATTTTTGGATTCCTCATTCGATTTCCACTAGCCATTTTTCTCAGCTGAAAAGTGAGAATACACTACATTTTAGGGTTATTAGAAAATGCCAGTGAAAGAGTCTGTGAAAATTCTTTAAAGAATACCTTCAAATGTAAGGCATTTTATCCTTAGTTTGGTTTTATTATGACTCACCCTTAAGAGCTGGCTTTTGTGAAGTGTCCCACACCTCTACAGATTGATCGAATTCTGAGGGGTGGGCGTCACAACATAGCACTTGTCTCTTTATTCTACACTCTCTTGGGGTAGGAAAGAAGTACATAAACAGAACATGCTCACTTTGAACTCCTGTGTTCTTGGAATGCATTGGGTGGGATCGAGGTGGAAAAGTGCAAATATCAGGAGATTGCCATTTCTGCTCTAGTCACAGTGTTTGCCCCAAGGATTGACATAGTAGAATCTGGTCATTTATGGAGCCAAATGTCTAGAAGGTCAGAATTAGCCTTCCTTTTGTTACAATTCTGGCCCACCTCTCAATTAGAACACAGGTTTCAGAGGCAGCTATTCTGTTCCACTAGTTTCGGGACATATGAGGGTACAGTCTCCTGTTCTGGTTACCTTTTGACTAATGACTGCCCTCAGAGAACAGATAATTAACAGAAACACGATACCACTGTACTCAGATACAACCCTTAGATTCGGACAGCTCTGTGCCCCTAGCCTACACCCCATGCTTTTAAGGCCTCTCCTTTGGCCGTGCCTGTCTCCTTCTAGAGCGCTCTCCAAGTACCCAGGACCCAAGAATTACCTGACAAAATGTCCTGCCTGCTTCCAGTGCCTGCAGAGTCTCTTCCTGAGTCCGTCTGCCTGAAGTTGGATCAAGCCATTGGACCTCACCCCTGATACGTGTATCTGTAGGTCCCAGGTGTGGCCAAGCAGGGGGTGACTGAGAGGAGTGTTCTCAGAGATTGTACATACTAGCTTGAACAACTGTGCAGTAGGCTTCTTGGGGTGCAGGAAGAGACTGGGGTGTGGGAAAAGCAAGAGAGGGGTTGGATTTGAGGCTGGGGTCCTCCATTTGGATTCTTGCCATAGATCTGCACCTGTCAGGGTCAGGTCTACCCAGAGGAATCTGTCCTTCTGACCCACTGCTTATTTTATGCATTTAAAAAAGAGCCATTGGGGAAAGTTTTCTTCACTCATATAGAGGCTGAGTATAGCAGGCTCAATATAGAGACCAATTAGTCTTTGATAATAATTCTCAGAGAGTGGGGTAATGGCGTGGAATGGGTGAATTTCCTGAAGGGAGGCTCTCTTTAGATGCCTCTCCTCTGTCTTTCTCCTGGGTAGGCAGTGCTGCTGATGCTTTATGAAAAAGGAAGAATTTTGCTGACACACTGCATTTTTATGAAAGAAAGCTGAGGGTCCCCTTATCTCTCCACAGAGGGCACATCTGCCTGCAAACAGGCTGTCTGCTTCTTAGGGATTCCTTCGTTATACTGTTTCTTTTTTGAAGGTTTTAAGGCACAGTTTGGTGCATTCCTTTCTGTTCTCTAAAGCCAGAGGAAAGTTATAATACATCAGGGCTCTTGCTGAAGAGCTTAAAATGGGCGTTGGCAGCTGGGATGGTGGGGAAAGAGAGCTTTCCAGGGGCAAGTGACCTGCTTGTTCAGCCAGTGAGAAGTAGGTTAGAGGAATGATATCACCAGACAGGGTTTATTGTCTGACCATCTTGTAAAAGCAGGATTGTGTCTGGCAACTTAACCCTTTTTAGGTACTTGGGGTCTCACCCACTCCCTTCTATGTGATCTCTAGATTCCTTTTCCCTACTGTCTGCGTGAGACCATAGATATTAAAGATTCTTTAACTCTCCTCTAAGAAATTAGGGGAGTTGTAAACCATTATTTTAGAAAATGGAAATTATTAAAATTTAGAACCACAGCTAGAATGGAAATGTGATCTAAGCTGTGTTTGGAGAGCACATCTAAAGTGGATACTGTTTATGGTCATATTATGTCAGACTTTTACTGTGTAGACTTGGAGGGAAGGGAAAGTTAGAGGGAAAGAAGATTTGTCCTTTAGTGTGTTTTAACAGGATCTTATCAGGTATTTCCTGCTTTGGAGGAATTGAAATTGGTTCTGCAAATTTGGAAAATATCACTGATCCTGAGGCCAGTTTTGAGTAAGAGGTATTTGTAGTGTTTATTCTTGTACTTCTTTATTGTCTCTTCCCCCATAAAAATGACGGTCATTTTACTTCTTTATGCTTCCTTTTCCTCACTGGTAAAATGAGTGGTCCTACCCTATCCCATAGTTTTTGAGATAAGAAAATAAACGAATTCATGTGATTTTAGATTGTCTACGCACATGTAGTGTATTATTATTAGGGCATTCGTGTTTTAAGATTGTATGTTCATTCACTCATTCGACCAGTTGGCTTTTTATAGTAAGGTTGGGCCCAAGAGATACAGAGATATAAAAGATGTAGTTCTTACCTTTACGAACTTAAAACATCATGAGGGAGACAGATAGTAATAATAAAACTGTCTCATACTTGTATTCTGTTTACCATGTGCCAGGCCCTGTTCTAAGCACCTTGACATGTATTATTTAACTCATTTAATCTTGCTACAACCCTGTGAAAAATAGGTACTGTTATTAACTCCATTTTACAGATAAAGAAATTGAGACACGGAGAGGCCAAGTGATGTGCTTAAGGTCACACAGCACAGTTAGAGAGTTGGGATTTGAATCCAGGCAATAGGGCTCTAGAGTTTGAGCTCTAAATCTGTGTTGACCATTATTTGTATAGTAATTGCTAGCCACATGTGGCTTTGAGTCACTTGAAATGTAACTAGGCCAAATTGAATTGTGTAAAATACACACTAGCTTTCAAAGACCTAGTATGAAAAAATATATAAAATATGTCATGTTGAAATTACATGTTGCAATGATATTTTGGATATTCTGAGTTAAGTAGAATATATTAAGATTAATTTCATTTTTTTGTGGCTACTAGAAAACTTAAAATTACATATATGGCTTGCATTTGAGGCTCGCATTACATTTCTGTTGGACTTTGCTACTTTAAATCATTACACTGCAATACTAATACTACTACTAATAATAGCAGGTGACATTTTTGAGCACTTACTGTGTACCTCATACTATGCTAATACCTTTACAAACACTATTTCAATTAAGCCTCAAAATAGCCTTGTTTAGGGTCGAGCCCGTGGCGCACTCGGGAGAGTGTGGCGCTGGGAGCGCAGTAGCGCTCCCACTGCGCGTTCGGATCCTATATAGGGATGACCGGTGTGCTCACAGCGCTCACTGGCTGAGTGCGGTGCGGCCGGTCTCAAAAAGGACAAAAAAAAAAAAATAGCCTTGTTTATTATCCTCAGTTTATAAAAGAGGGACAGGGTTTTGAGAAATTTGGTAATTTGCCTGGGATTAGTCAAATAGTTTATGACAGACCCCAAATTTGAAACCTTATATGTCTGATTCAAAAATCTGTGCTCTTAACTAGTACACTGTAATACCATTTCCATTTGAATCTCAGGCTATTTTGTTTTTATTTTTATAAGAATATTTAATATTGCATACTTCTGTATCTGACACATAATTTTCAAAATACAAATCACCAGTCCATAAAATAGACATCCTGGATAGAAATCTCTTTTGCAGAGCCTCAGCCCTCAGTGAATACCAGCACAGTTGAGCCTGAGATGAAGCAGTGAGTCAGCCTGTACAAATTGCATTTAATTTTCATTCCAATAGTTCTCTCACATCACTGGGCAATTTATGTCTCGACACTCTTTGTCCATAGAGAAGGGGAAGAGGGGCAATGCAGCTCTCCTTAGTAGTTCAATACAAATTGCATTTAATTTTCATTCCAATAGTTCTCTCACATCACTGGGCAATTTATGTCTCAACACTCTTTGTCCATAGAGAAGGGGAAGAGGGGCAATGCAGCTCTCCTTAGTAGTTCAGCTCTCTTGGCTGATAAGAAGAAAAAATTGCTTTCCTTTCATTGTCCTCTGAAATGCTGTTTGTGTTTGAGAGAGCAATAAAGTGCTGTCCAGTGACCTCTGACTTTTCTTTCTTCTAGAGCAAAGATTCAGGCGGACTGAAGGCGGCTATGATTGAGTTGGTGGAAAGGTTAAAGTTCAAGAGCTCAGACCCTAAAGTAAGTATTGTTTTAGAGTTGATTGGGTATTGGTACTCCAAGCGTTTTATTCTCCTTGAGCTAAATTTGAGGGGTGTTAATGATCATCTGTCTGAACATTACATTAAGATCTAATTAAACCTGCCCATCAAAAACAGTGTTCTCATATGCCTGGAGATAAGTCATTTATTTTTCCCCTTCTCTGTTTTATGACTTACAACATATAATCATTAACTGTTTTCCCTGAACTGCAGACAAGTGCATTTTTAATCTTCCTTTACTGTGCCTTTGAGACTTCTGTCCTTTGTGTCTATTAAATGTAGCCAAAGGCATCTGGGGTACTGATCAGCTTAATGCTGGGGACTAGAACAGGACCCAGACCCATCCAGTTGGTGTTCAGCACTAGCATCTTGTCTCTCCCCCACTTACATAGGTCAGCTGCCACTGAGAGTGCTTTTGTCTTCATGACCTGGAGTCTGGTCTGGAAATGGTTTAAGCATTCCAGCTTTTTTTTGCAAGATGTTGGAGGGTTGATATTCTGGGAGACACTATACCATGGTGGGAGTGGACTGGGAACTGAATATGCTGGAGTGATTATGACTAACACAGACTCCCTTCTTCCTACCCACACACTTACTGTGGCACTACCTGGTATTGGGGCCAGCTGGCTCTGCGTGAGACTCAAAGCCTCCCATGATTAAATAGGAAAAGGAGTGTGATTTTATTTGACTTCTTATGTCTCCTTTTTTTGTTGTTGTTTTTTGAAGTTCTTCAAAAGGGGAGTAGGACTAGCATTTTTTTGAGCACCTACTGAGAGCCAAGCATTGGCTAGGAGCATTACATTATTGTGGTAAAATATACATAACAAAATTTTAACCCTTTTTAAGTGTACGTTAAATACATTCAGTGGCATTACATACGTTCTTATTATTGTGCAGCCATCACCAACATTCATCTCTAGAACTTTTTCATTATCCCAAACTGAAACCCTGTACTCATTAACTCCTCATTTCTTCTCCCCTCCTTACATACTTTTGATTATTGCGACAACCTTATAAAGTAGCTTATTATTTCTATTTTATTGAGAAGGACACTGAGGCTTAGAGAGGTAGAATTATTTGCCCCAAATCTAGTATTTAGAGGTGGAATCAAACTCTGACTCCAGTGCCTGTACTCTTTACGTCATGCTGCAAACCAAGTGCTGGGTTTTATCTCCTTTCTACTGTATAATCACACTGTGCTTCAGTTTTCTAAGCTAAAACTCTACATGAGGCAGAGCCACAGACAGAGTGACAGCCTCTTCAAAAGGTAACTGCAGCCACTAGTCTACAAAATAATTTTCTTTTCACATGGCATTGAAATTATTGGGGCATTGGTAATATCTCTTGTCTCCTGGTGTCATTAGGGTTCCAGGGGTAGAGAGTATCTTGATAGATAGAAAAAAATTTTGTCAACTTTTTTAGCTCAAAGTAGGAGGACCCCTGGTATAAGTAGTTTTTCTTTTAGTGAAGATGAACCAATTAATTATTAAAAGGTTACTGAAAGCTTTTCTTACTAAGTTTCTGGGGCAGCAGCTATGCTGAGGGAGACAAGTGTATTTTCTTTTTCTGCCATACCCACATGCTTGTAATCAGCAGGGCAGTGAAGAAGGAAAGGATGTGTACAGATCACATCCAGTGGACTCTGTGTATGATGATAAGCCAGGTAAAGCGCACTGAGATCCTTTAGAATGCATGTAGTGCTTTTGATGGGAAACTTGCTGGAAGTGAAATAACTGAGTCTCAAGGTTTTCTCATGATACATCCTAAGCTAAAGGATATTTATAGGGACCTGACTTGATCTTGGGTATGTGTGTACACACTCACCTCTCTTTTACTTTCTTTTTATCTTGCCCTGGATCATTTACCACCAACCTATTTTATTTTCAAGCCCCTTCTTAGTCTACATGCATGTGCTGTATATACTTGGAGACAGCTTGAAGAAGGGTGAACATAATTGCAGAATGACTACCAGGTCAGAAAGGGGGGTGAAAAACGGGCCACTTAAATATAATTTCTGTAACAAAGAATGTTTTCCTGGAAATAAATTGGTGTCTTGGTTCCAAGAGAACCCTTAAATTTTTGGTCTGTTCTGTTTTCCCACAGTACCCCCACCATCCCCTTTTTGAGTTGGCCTATTTAAGAAATCCAGAATTTCTCAGGCTTTATGGCCTGTCGTTTCCTGGCATAGCAGCTTTACATAGAGGCACTGATTGAGTCATGGAGGACTGAGCACTATCTCTGCCTCACTTCCTCTAAAATTCCCTAAAGCACCACAAAGCTTGATTAGTCCAGACACTGAAGTCTCCTGGGGACTGAGTTAATTTTTACCTCTGAGTCTTGTCAGAGAACAATGAAAGATGCCTAGATTAATCATTTTTCACATTTATAAAATAATACATGCTTATGAATAAAAAATACAGATATTCATAAAGGAAAAGTAAAATGAATTTCCCTCAAACAAACCGTTATAAAGTTTGGTATGTAACCTTCTAGACATTTTTCCATGGGTAAATACAGTTTTAAAATTTTTCACAAAAATTTTACTATACCTATGGTTTTATAATTGCTTTTTTCATTACACAGAATATACTAGACATTCTTCTGTGTCAATAATATAGACTTCATTTTTCTTAATGAGATGCTTCATTTTATCCAAAACATTTGTTAGACACCTTTCTTCTAGGCCAGAGGTTCTTAAACTTTAGCATCCATGGAAATCACTTGGAGGACTTATTAAAATACAGAATTCTGAGCCCATCCCCAGAGTTTTTGATTCAGTTGCTCTGGGGTGGGGAGTTTTCATCTCTATCAAGTTCCCAGGTGATGCTGATGTTGTTGGTCTGGGGACCACACTTTGAGAACCACTATGCTGGACCTTGGCTGTTTTCCTTCACACTTGTTTTGATTTTTTTCACTTCTTTCAGCAAATAGTCAGAAGAGCCCCTGGAAATAAGTCCATGTGATTTTAACTTTGGGGAAAAAAATGAAGTATGAAACAAATAAATTGAGCAGAGATAGCAAAGGAGTAGGGGAAGGGAAAGGGAGGTGAATTGGGAAGTCAGCTCAGTCTGCCTAAGAGGACAGGATTGGTTTAAACAATATTTCCAAGAGAGAAATAGTAACTAAAAAAAGGAAAAAGAATCCTAGTTAGGATTTAGGAGGATGATCAAAGTCCATGCCATAGTTCAGGAGTAGGTTGAGTTCCAAAACCAGAGGAACACTAAGAGACATCAAATCTCAGGCACTAAGGGTGAGCCTGAGGACAGGAATCAAAGCCAGTGATGATTGAGAAATAAGGCACAGGACCAGGTGAAGTATGTGCATACATGTTGCTGTGGTGAGCCCTGCTTTAAAGGTTGCATAACTCTAGGCATCTAAACCCCCCTGTATCATGAAACAAGATTACTATTAATAACAAACAAGCGTTAGTATGTAAAAAAGGATTAGTAAGAAATAGTCTTTTAAATAATAAGCTGTCCTAATGTGTTTGCTGTGAATCAGTTTGCAAACTTTTTTTTTCCAGACAAACTTCTCAAGAATCTCCTTTACACAAAGCAGGGTTTTTGTCTGTAGATTTCTTACATTTATGCTAGGCTTTAGGGAAATTAAAAGATGTAGTCAATCAGGAGTGCGTATGTGTGTGTGTGTGTCTCTGTCTGTACCTGGATTTTTAAGAAATTAAAACCTTTCTGAATTCTTTATCTTTACAGCTTTCCTTTGTAGTGACTATACAGTTATCTTTTATAGTTTACACGAGGAATCCAAGGTTTGGAAAAACATGGATTCCTTCTCCTCCTTTTCCTCTACCCAGTCCTCCAAAAACATTGAACCAAAAGATAGCATGGTAAACACAATCAAATGAGCCTCTTATTATGCGGTTAATGACAGCCACTTTCTCTATTATGTATTGATTGTTTTTCTTTCCCTCTAAGATGCACTCCTCATTGTTTCCTATAACTGGTGTGCTTGAAGCAAACAGTTAAAAACACAGTGTAGTGTCTCAAATTCATACTAATCTTATAAGAAGTTACTCTCAAAAAAGAAGTGTCTTAAAGCTTGAGCCAGGTGCCTCACATTATTTTCTAACCAGAGTAGGATTAAACACAGAATCTGGTCATACCAAGACTGCCTAAAACATAGCAGGTTTTTTTCCTTGTTTTCTCCAACTTCTAGAGGTGTTCTTACTGAAGTGTGAAACCAAAAAATTGTCTAGCAACATGAAATTAGTTAAATAGATCTGAGAATGGTTTTCTTATTTTATTATTTTTATTCAGCATTTATATAGCATTTTATAATTACAAAAGAACTTTACAGTCAGTTTTCATAGCCGATATCATTGGCATGGAACATAGCCAAGTCCTTCACTTCTCTGTGCTAATCAGACTCTTGTCAAAAATTATAGATTTTGCATGTGAAAACAGTAATGAGTATAAGCAAAACTTAATTTGAATTCTTCTTGTTAGTGTCCTGTTATTCACAAGGGTCAAACCAGACCTCATCCTGGTCCTTGCCCTGCTCCAAGACAGAAGCATTCCCTGGGGCAGTGTTTATTCATCCAGCTGAAGTGGAGAGTTGAGATGCCTCAGCTGTCAAGTTGCTACATATGAAAGTGTTTCTTTGGTTGAGGGGTTATTGGAATTACTTTTCACAGAACAGTTGTAAGTGGGAATCTTGGAGTACATGAGTTATGTTTATTTTATCGCTGTATCCTCAACGCTTATTAGCATGAAGCCTGGTGCATAGTAATAGAGATGCATTATCTATTACTATAACCCTGTGAAAGTGTTTGTCCTGTTCTATGGATGAGCAGTCTGAGACTTAGAGCGGTTAATTAGCTTACTAGTATGTGATAGAACTAGTACTTAAACTTCAAATTTGTCTTACTCCAGGTTCTTCACCTTTATACTGTTGTTGAATCCATACATGAGTAGACATACATACATATATATAGCCCATTGTCCCTAGCAATGTGACCCTTCT